CTGAGAAACTATCTAAGGGTCACAGAGAAAGGATGGCAGAGAGGAAACAGCTTGGAAACCTAGATCCATCTGATGCTAAAGCAGGGAAGTCCACAGCCTGGGAACTGACCTCTCTGTCCAGCATGAGAGGACCAAGCACCTAAGCATTTGCAAAATGGGTCTGTGGGCTCCAGTATGCTTTTGCTGCTCCTGGACAGCAGAGGGCGCAAGGTATTGCGTTTGGTTTCCTCCAGCTGTACCAACCTTCCCTGTGCAGGCCAGCACACACTTGTAACCAGGCAAGTTGACCTGATCTGATGTATGTCACCAAAACAGGATCACAGTTGCATGCTTTAGAAAATTGCACAAAACCACCTCTCTGTATCATGTCCAAGAACATGTTGAGGTCCCTTCTGACCAGGAGCTTATAGATGCCATCAAGTTAGGATGAGGTAATTCCACAACCCCTAATCTGATATCTCTGTTGTTCTTATAAAAAAAAGAAATTAAGAATGAAGACAGACATGGCAGTGTATGCCAACACTCAAGAGTCTGAGGCAGGCAATGGAGAAATGGATCAGCAGTTAACAGTACTGGCAGTTCTTCCAGAGGATTCACATTTAGTTCCCAGGACATATGTGGTGGTTCTTAGCCACCTCTAACTCCAGTCCAAGGGGAGCCTTCTTCTGCAAAGTATTCATACACATAAAATAAAAAGAATATTTAAGATAGCAAAATATAAACACACAAAACAGGATAGAATGTAGCTTAGCTGGCACAGTGCTTGCTTGGCATGCAGGAAACCCTGGGCTCAACTGCTAGTGCCACACTAACAAGTCATGGTGGAACACACACTCCTGTGCACACGCTCCTGTTCATACACTCCTGTAATCCTGGCGAGTGACATGTGGAAGAGGGAGGATTGTGAGTTTGAGGCCAACCTCGGCTACATAAACTGCCTCTCAAAAACAGAGAACTAAAAAAAAGGAAATGCCATGTGACTACAGGTAGGGACCAGAGAGATGCTGAATAACAAGGGGTGTGGAAGAGCACGAGGAAACAGCAGGAAGAGTCGAGGACGTTCTACCTAGAGTCTCAGAAGGGACATGGCTCACAACCTGATTTCAGACTTCCATCATCCAGGGCTTGTGACATCCACAACAGGAAGGCTCTCTCTCCACAGGCCGACACTGCCTGTATGAGACCCTCATCCACCACTCTCCCTCCCCAGAACACATCCACTATGGCTGCAGGCGGTGCTTGGGAAGAATCCAGCACAGCCTCTTGTGGCATTGAACATGTTCTTTCTTCCCTCTGTGGTCTGCTTTAGGCTGTGTTCTGTTGCTATGGCACTGAGCTTGGGAAATTTACATGTATGTGCATTTGCACCTGTGAGAGTCTTGGCAGAAGGCAGAAAGGCACAAGGCAGGTGATGCTTCATAACTCTTGCAAGAGCTGACCCTGTCTCATGAAAACTGCACTGATCCCAGCGTGGGCAGGCTCTCACAACATCATCAAACACATAGATCCCTCCACCTCTCAGATGCTCACACTGGGACCCAGATTCTAACATGAACTGTAGAAGGGGCAAGCCACAATGAGACAGTCTCAGCCTCAGGACTGCTGTGTTTTCAGAACTATCTCTGCTTCCTTCAAGTTTCCAGCAACCACCCTGCAGCCTCATCTCCAGGCTCTGCCAGGGCTTCCTTGGCCAAGCTCTTCTCTTGAGGGTATGACTGTTGATGTGCCTCCTGTCTGGGATGTCCTGTCTGTGGACTCCTCAAGGACAGGGACCCAGTCTTATAGGCGTGGTTGATTTCCATGCTTAGACAAGTGCCTGGCACACAGTAGGGTTGTTTTGTTTTGTTTGAGACAGGGTGTTGTTTTGTAGCCCAGGCTGGTCTTAAACACATGGCCAGTGCTCCTGCCTCAGCCTCCCAAGTGCTAGGATTGCAGGTATGTGTTACCATAATCAACTAGGTTATTTTTAAAAAAGATTTATTTATTTAATATATGTGAGTACACTGTAACTATCTTCAGATACACCAGAAGAGGGCATCAGATCTCATTACAGATGGTCATGAGCCACCATGTGGTTGATGGGAATTAAATTCAGGACCTCTGGAAGAGCAGTCAGTGCTCTTAATCATTGAGACATCTTTCCAGCCTCAGCTATGTTATTTTTAAAGATTTATTTATTTATTTATTTATTTATTTATTTATGGGTCGGGTTTATTATTTATTTATTTATTTATTTATTTATTTATTCATTGTATTTGAGTACACCATTGCCATCTTCAGACACACCAGAAGGGGGCATCAGATCCCATTACAGATGGTTGTGAGCCACCATGTGGTTGCTGGGAATTGAACCGCTGAAAGAGTGGTCAGTGCTCTTAACTGCTGAGTCATCTCTCCAGCCTAGGTTTATTATTTATTATTTTTTATTATGTGTATGCATCCTTATGTGTGAATACGTGCATATGAGGTGTCAGATTCCTTGAAGCCGTCCCTTGTGGTCCTCTGCAAGAGCAGTACAATTTTAACCTTCGAGCTACTCTTCCAGCTCTTCTCCATTTTGTTCTATTTGAGGGTTATTGTTTTGCTTTGGGTTTTGGAATGTTTTGCCTACGTCTGTGCAGCAGTATATGCATGCAGTACCTGCAGAGGCCAGAAGAGGACATCAGAGTCCACAGAACAAGAGTGAGATTGTCAGGCAAGCTGCCACATAGGTGTTAGGAATTAACACATGTCCCCTGGAAGAGCAACCAATACTCTTAACTGCTGAGCCATCTTTCCATCCCAAGCCCCCTGGTTTTTAATAATTGATGAAAGACGGAAAGAAAGGAAATGTGAAAGAAGGAGGAAGAAAAGTGTAGGTGAAAGCTAAAGAGTTTACTCTATTCCCAGGGATATCAAGGATTCACGGCAGGCTTTCGAGCAGGTGGGACAGCTCTGGAAGCCAGCTTCAAGATGAGCCACTATTAAGTTGTTCCAATGATGGAGTTAATAGGTGCCCAGGCTAGATAATAATAGGTGGCCCAAAAGAGTGCTGGGGTTTCCTGTTGAGCTCATAAAATGCAATGTTCTATGCGCAGCAGACCAGAACCAACAGCCTCTGGGGTGACGCTTGCCCCAAGAGTGCCCAAGTTGGTGCATTAGCACACCAGCTGTGTTCTCTGAGTCAGACCCCTGCCACCTGACCTGGCGTGGAACCCAGAGAACTGTTACCTACCATCTCAGCCCAGGGGGAGAGATCAGGGGTGCTTTCCACCAAGCCTTCCTTTATGCTTCTCGAAGGCTTCTGCAGCTGACTCCTTATCTCATTTCCAGAGGGAGAAAGAGAATCACAGAGCTGGTAGGCAACAGCCCTGGCACTCCCAGCAACAGAGTGGCTCGTCTTCACTCAGACAGTCCGATATCCAGGGAGAGGAGACATCTTCAGGCCTGAGGGGCCTGGCTAATCCCTGATGGCATCAACGGCACACATGGAGCCCCTCTGACCCCTACTTGTCCCAACCTTGACCTCAGTTCTGCCTCCACTGCTCACCCAATTCTACCTTGCTAGGTCTTAGGTAAGGCTAGAGGTAAGCTGGGATGGGGGTCAGAAGCAAATGAGACAAGTGAATTAACTAGCTGTTGATCTCTAACAAGTAACTCAGCAAGACTGTTCAGTGGGTAAAGGTGCTTGATGAATTGAGTTAGACCCCCAGATCCATGTAAAGGTGGGACTCCACAACGCTCTTCTCTGGCTTCTACATGCATGGCGTGGTATGAACACGCCCAAACATACAACACATTGTTGTTGTCTGACTGTTCTCTGAGCCAAGCAACTGCCATCTTGGGACATTCAACTGTACAAAGCCCTATTAAAAGACTATCTCTGCTAGACTTGTGGTATGTTCCCCCACCAAGTATCCAATGGCTTCCTACCAACTGACAACTCTGCATGGAACACACACACACACATACCACCACCACCACCAATAAATAATAACAGACAAAAATATCCATATTTTGGTATTCCTAATAGATTGGTTTTAAGACAGTACATATCAAAATCTGTGGGTGCTCAAGGGTTTCATATTCTGATATAGCTTACACACACCCTCTTTGCACATCTGATATTATCTGTGAGTTGTTCATAATAGAACGGGAACGCTCTGTAAGTGATTGTTACACTACTGTTTACAGAATAAGCCAGGAAGAAAATCTGTGCATGTCCCACAGATGCAATCTTTTCATTACTATTATTTTATGTATATGGTGTTTTGCTTAAGTGTATATATGCACACCGTGTGCATGCTTGGTGCCTGAGGGGGTCAGAAGGTAGTTCCAGATCCCCTGGGTCTGAAGTTACACAGTCATGAGTCACCATGTGCAGGCTGGGATTGAACCCAGATCCTCTGTGTTGCCATCAGGCATTCTGTCAGATTCCATGGCCTCTGCACCCTGCCAAGCTAAGGGCTTTGGAAATCCCTCCAGACCCAACTTCCTTGACTATGTGCAGGGAAAGCAGCTGTTTTCTGCTCTGATGGTTGATTCTGAGTGTAAGTTTGGCAGAATTTATTAGTATCTAGATGTGTGTGTGTGTGTGTGTGTGTGTGTGTGTGTGTGTGTGTGTGTGT